TCCCTACCCCCCGACTCCTTCAACCCATGCCTTCCCCCCAATTCCTTCAACCCATGCCTTCCCCCAATTCCTTCAACCCATGCCTTCCCCCTGATGCAAGAGGTATAGGTGGTTCCTTGGGAGGCTCTCTGTCTTCTCTGAGAAGTTTGACCTCAGTGTAGTTCTTGGCCAGCCCACGGCATGAACACAAGCCATGGCAGCAGCACAGCACATCTCTGGTGCCAAAAATGGCTTTGTGCTTCAGTCCCAGGACAGCTGCACTTCTAAAAACCCATGTGTGGCCAGAATTTGAGAGGAATGATTGGGACAGATCCCAGGTGTGGTTGGGGCCATGGGCTTTGCCTGTGATACTGGGGAAGAAGGAGCAGTATTTGAGAAGAAAAGAGCTTGTTTTTCCCCAGGTCTCCTCACTGGCCTCAGCAGCAGCCCTGAGGCTTTCCAAGCTGGCAACTAAACAACAACAGGAAGGTCCCAGAGACACCTTGAGCCCCTATTTCTTTATATAGACATATATGGTTAGATTTCAAACAGAAGACATTTTTTCTTCATGCTAATCCTCCACAAAACCAGTTTGGTTTCCATTACTATATATAGCACTGGGATTCTTGGTCTATTTTTTGTCCTTTTGCATCTGATTGTTTTCAATAGAGTTCAAACTTTTGATGATATGCAGATTTGAACGAGAACATGACATCTATTCATACAGAATTCCATTAGTAAGAAATCCACAATGGCCACAGATAACGTAGAAGAATTTTATTCATACCATAATCCTGTCCCATCATCCACTGCAAATATTACAATTAGCTTTAAAACATCACTGAGTATAATTTTGTTCCACTTCAAGCACAGGAATCCTGGTGTTAAACAGTTACACTTCTCTTAAGATTGCTTCTAACAGAACCATAATTCAAAGGTATTCTCCATGAGCTGTAAAGGTTTAAAGCAAAGAATCTGCAGTGTGTCTGTGTGCTCGAGTAACTTCTAAACAGTGAGGCTAATACTTGGTGTTTGACAAGAGATGTGTCTTGCATATTGTGTGAAACACTTACAATTGTTTTACTAACACAACAGAAATGCAATAGGGTAAAAGAACAATCAGGAGTGACTGGAAACCTTTAAAAAAAGATGTCATTGAAAAATTGCACAAGAGAATACAAAAACAGTGAAGCAAATAAACAAGATGCATATACATCTATCTATATAGAATGGGGATCTGCCTATAGAAATGGAGGTGATAAAAACTGCAAGGCTGGAAACTGTGAATGATCATATTTAATAACACGTGCAAGAAGCGTAACATAATGATCATAAATAGCAGCAACAAACATACACTGATGGAACCATCCATAGTAGGCTGAAATAAATTAAGCACCTTGAAGTGATGAGAGGAGCATGAAGCTGAGAAGCTTTTAGCTCTGTGGGCAGCTACTGGAATATTTGGGCCCTCTTGGTGGGAGTCAACAGGAAAGTGTCAGGTTAGGATCTGTTAGTTCCAAAGAAGAAAGCACATTTGTGTGCCAGCAGTTTAGCCAACTACACCTCTAGTTTCAAAAGGGAGATTGCTACCCTATTTCACCACACACCTTTGGTGTGTCAAAGGTACAGAAAGTTTGTATTTGCACAGAAGAATGTTATTGTAAAGAAGAAATGGAGTTTTGCCCCCAAGTGAAGAGCAGGCAGTGCTGGTTAGAGTGGCTGACACTCAGTGCTTTGCTGCTGCTGGCAACAAGTTGACCTGCAAAGGAAAAGCTCTGCAAAGCATAATCTAAATGATCCCATCCTGGAGGGCTGCACAGACCTCACTCTTGAGGGATCTGCTAAAAGCTCCATTCAGGGGCAGCTTTGTGTCCAGGCAGGGCAGCAACAACTGCCAGCAAGGCTGCACACCCCTGGAGGGACCTGGGCTTGAGGATCCTGGTGCTCTTTGTTACACAATACCTGTCTTTGGAGGAGAGGCAGCAGTTAGAAGCACTTATTTGGCTTTCAGAAAATCTTACAAAATGCTAAAATTTAGTCATACACTAAGAGAAAGGCATTTGAATTGAATTAAGTGGACCTTAGTAAAAACAAGCTGCTGTATTTGCCCTTGATGTGCACCTGGCACTGTCTCTGCAGCATTTCACACCACGTTCAGAAGAAGTGGCTGGGACACTCTGCTGAGGGTAAGTACATTTTGAAGCTCACTTAATTCAGCAGAGAAGTTCCCATTGGACTTTTAAGGGCTCTAATGCAAACCCTCATTTAAAAACAGCTGAGGACAAATAACTTAGGTCCTAAAGGCTCCATTTGAATTCTTACAAAACATTGTCCCTTGACCTCTTCACCCAGAGGACTGGAGGAGGCTGTTTGTCTTAGCACATCCTGCAAAGCAGACCCAAAAGGGTTTAGGAATATGGCCCCTAGATGTAAGCCACAAACAAAATCACTCAAAAGCTCTACTTTTCCCTGGCTTGCTGGAATGATCAAAACCTTTCTCTGACCTTCCCCTTTAAACTGCTCATCTGTCACTCACCCTGGTGAGTCCACAACCAGGGAAAAGTCTTGTAGAAGTGACAGGCAGAGAAATACTACAGAATCACAGACTGGTTTGGGTTGGAAGGGACCTGAAAGACCATCTAGTTCCAACCCCCTGCCATGGGCAGGGACACCATCCACACTGCTTGATCAAAGAAGCTGGAGAAAAGGTGAATAAGACCAACTTTAAAGATAAAGAAAACAGAAATTCATATGTATTTTAACTACTTAAAACCACTGGTTTAAGCTATATGATCCAACAATAGGTAAAAATCTTGCCTGCAAGCCAAGAGCCAAAAAGAGCCCCAATCTTCCCCGAAGCTAGTCTTATCCAGTTATCCTCCCACTTCCATGATACGTGAGATTTGAACTGACATCCACCACGTGACATAAACAGAAAAAAGTACACAGAAAATGCATTATTTGTGGGGTTTTTTTTTCTTCATAAAGCCATGGAGCTGCACAGAGCAAAACTGAAGTGCACAAGGTCACACAAAGGCAGCTTTCCAGAGGAATCATTTAGACAGTGAGTGAAATGAAGCTGTTGTATCTCTGAATGTTTCTCTTGAGGATCTCGGAGCAGGGCCCGAGCACTCTCTCGAAGCGTGGCCGGTCCAGCTTCACACACTTCAGGGGTCCTCGTGCCACCACCGTGGCAGCCCTGGGCCGATTGAGCAGCAAGGCTATCTCACCTGCAAACAGGGACAAACATGCTGTCACTCACCCCGCGTGCCTCTCTTTTGGTGCCTATTCCAGCCACCATCCAGTTGCTTTGCCTGTAGAACATCTCCCTTTTTTTATCTCCTGATAGGCACTTTACATAATGCAGTTGACAGTACAAGTGCATTACAGATGCATAATGCATGTGTGTAAAATGCCTTTGAAAACAAATGAGTTCAGGCTGTTTTGCTGATTCTGGATCTGTCTCCTGTCAGCTACACTGGTGTATAGAATCATAGGATCATCAAGGTTGGAGGAGACCTCTAAGATCAGCAAGTCCAACCATTAACTTGTCACTGCTGGAACCACTAAACCCTAAACCAGATCCTCCAGTGTCAGATCCAGACACCTCTTAAACACCTCCAAGGATGGTGACTCCACCACCTTCCTGGGCAATATTCCAATGCCTGACCACCCTAACAGGGAAAAATCTTTCTAATATCTAATTTGAATCTCCCCTGTCTCAGCTCAAGGCCTTGGTGTAAACCTTGAGCTTCCCTGCAATCTCTCCGTGTCGCTGAAAGCAGCAGCTGACCTAAGCATAACCCCTTGCATGTAAGAGTAGAACACTAATTAAGACAATAACTACTTGATCCAGACATGCCTGTCTTTCTCGACCACACTTAGCTGAATTTTCTTACCAAAATAGTCTGATGGCCCAAGTCTTCCAACTTCAACATACTCCTCGTTGTCAGACCTGCGCTGCAGGACTGAAGCTGTGCCCTGGGAAGAGAAGAGAAGAGAGAAAATCAGTTGGCTTTGCTCAAACCTATTCTGCTTTCAAAAGTATCCAGTCCTGAGTATTTCCTTCTGTGTGTCACAATCCTTCAGTTCCTCTATGGCAATTTCAGTCAATCCCTGATATATCTGAATGAAAGGAATTAAAGGATTAAAACCCCTCCATCAGTACAGCATTACAGTTTCTCTGTAATGAATTGTTTGGATGCAGCAAATACAGCTCATAAAGAGGAGCAAGACTCTTTATGCAAGACTCAGGAACTCCTATTTAATGCACATCATGCTGTGCAAATGTATGCTTTAATAGCATTTTACAGTATGTTCTGGGTGGATGCAGAACCTGATGAGAGACACAGAAAAGATTTACTTAGTAAAAGGACTAAAAAGGCAATTTTCCCAGTCACAATCCTGGGACATGATTTTGTAAGAGTTTATTCCTTACCTGATCTACTGTTAAAATGGGTGGTAAAAGGTTTCACCCTCCACTTAAAAAAATGCTTGTTGCAACAAAGGGTGATTTTTTTTCAGTGGCTTTGCCAGCTTGTGGCCTGTAGTGATGTGGACACCTGTGAGTCAGTTGCTGGAGAGATGGAATGTGTTTTGTCTCCACTACCCTTAATAACTGCTGTACCTGACACGTGCTAATACATGTCAAAACTCAGTTACAGTCTATTTAAACCTTCAAAGAGGTTTTACATGCAGAAATATTTTGACCTGGAGGAAATCTTAAATTATTGTGGCATAAAACTTTT